CACATTATTGGCAATATTGAGCTGAAGCTTGACTTTGCAAATTTAAAATCGCAAATCAAATCGCAATCGCAATCGCAATATCTGTCAAAAAAATCGCAATTTGATATTTTCCCCCAAATCGCACAGCCCTAGTCAGAAAGCTCTCGGATTTCATCAAAAATATCTTAATTTGTGTTCCGAAGATGAATGAAGGTCTTAAGGGTTTGGAACAACATGAGGGTGAGTAACTAATGACAGAATTTTCATTTTGGGGTGAACTATGCTATTTAAGTGACTAATATGTAAGTATTGTGGCACTGAACAGTGATTTGCACGGTTTATTGTCTGGTGCTGTTTACTTCTAGTAAGTGCCTTAATATAAAAACAATTTTTGGATAAATAAAATAAAATAAAATAAAATAAAATAAAATAAAATAAGCCTTTGGTAACATTTTTTTAGGGTTTTTGAATGACTGCATGAATATATTGAAAATATCTTGGACTCACCAAGACAGCGCGGCACTTTGCCGCTCCAGTAGGGTGTGGTGGCATTGCGGCATGTGAGGGTGGAGGGACCCTGGAGTTGGTATCCATTGAAGCAGTAGAAATAGGCCTCTCCCCCTGCATGCAGGCTGGTGACAGACACGTCCCCATATGCTGGTCTATCAGGGAAGTTGCAACTCAACACAAATGCTGTAATAGAGAGAAAACGAATAACTGATTAGGCAAATGATTAAAACTGCAGCACGCCACACCACACTTATTTAAACGAGCATCTGAAGCTTCTTTAAAACTATCATTAGACTGAGACTAAGGTCTGTGGGGAGTATGAATATTGCATTACAGTGACTCCCACTTATTTCAAGAAGACTTATTATCTTAACAAACTCCATCTGTCTTTCTTTCTCTCAGTTTAATATGGTCTCAGAGGGTCTGTCCCCAATGCATGTTCTCTCTCCATGTCCTCCAGACCGCAGCCGACCTTTTCTGTGAGAAAGGGACACATCGAAGATGACAAATAAACCTGAACCCTGAACACTGTCTGTTTTCACAGCCAGAATGGGCCTGCTGGGATGCGTGGAGACAATCATTAGCTGCCTAAGATGATAGATTAGACTCACATTTGGTCTAATGGTCACAATAGAGCAAAACCTTCTCTACATCTGAGACTAGCCCAGATTCTTCATCATTTTTAACTGGACACTCTTTCCATTTTGACTTTTACACAAAGTCTGGTCCACATTACAACTTATTCTGGCCCACTTAGACAAGCTGTCTGAATTAGACCATCTAATGACATACAAAATGACCAATGACAATTCAATGACATGTTTCATTTTGTTTCTATGTGTCATTTTTTTTCTTTTTTTGAATAAATGATGCTCCAATAATAAGTCTACATTAATAATCTTAGTTACAAGTCAGGTCCAAATAAAACTCCCCCAAATGGCCTCTTACATAAGCTTTGGTCTTCTGGATAGGGCTATGAATTGAGGCTTTATTGACCATTGTCTTGCCTGGCTCTCGGCACTAAACCAGACTGTCAATACTTTCTCAAGCAATGTCCACAAAAGCCTTTTCACCATTTATCACTGCTGGCTTGCGAGTCAATTTTCACCCTTTCAAAACGCCTGAAGAAGGTCTTGGACCGAAGCACTGCTATTTAATAAACATTTGCAAGCTACAACAATTTCCTATTTTACCTTCTTCCTATGAAAATCAACAAGCCCTGATGCAGTGAATACTAAAGACATAAAAGACAGATATTTTTTCTTTGAAATGAAAGAGGTCAAAATTCAAGGCCAGTGTGAATTCAATTGCAATTTGTCATGTACAGAATGATGTCTGCATACGAAGGAGGCTTTGATAAGCAAGTGACCGTCTTTTCCTTCATCACAGAAGCTCTGCACAGCCTCTGCAGGAGTCCTCGCAAGGCGGTAAATCCAGGTTAGACCGCAAGTGCCCATCGAGCTAAGAACTGCTTTCCCAACACCATTTTTTCGTCTCCTCCTACCCATCCTCCTTGCAGAATGTTTTTGCAATTTATGACAGAAATTTCAGGGCTCATTTCTCCCTGTCTCGAGGTGGCTGCAGCAGGCGTATTGTTAGCTGTTGAAATTCAGAGCAGTGTGTGGGTGTTGATTTTGTCACCAATGACAAGACTGAGCCCGAGGCCAGAAAATTTGCACAGGGGCGATAAATTATAACCTTTGACCTGGCTTGGATCCGTGTCATATCTGCTCTCAAATTCTTTAGCTGACTGCAACAGGCCGAGCATAAATTACAGTATTTCCAGCACTAAGGGGAGAATTCATAAAACAACTGCACTAACCAATATCTGGTTTAGTTTTATTAGTTTTAGTAAAAAAAAAAAAAAGATTTTTTCAAACATTATCTGAGCCTGTTTCCACCATGAAAATACAATTTAACAAATAAAATAAAATTAAATTAAATAAAATTAAATTAAAAATTAAAGAAAATGAAATGAAATGAAATTAAATAAATAAGGTTATTGTGACTTTTTTCATCTCACAAGTTTTCTGAGAATTCTGAGAAAAAAAAGTCAGAATTGTGAGATATAAACTCAAAATTCTGACTTTCTCACAATTCTGAGTTTATATCTCAAAATATAGACCTTTATTAGAATTGCAAGGTGTGAACTCAAAATTGTGAGATAAAAATGTGCAATTCTGAGTTTATATCTTGCCACTGTGAGAAAAAAATCAGAATTTTGAGACATAAACACTGAATTGTGAGAAAACAAGTCTGAAATGTGAGAGTAAAAGCTGCAATTAACTTTTTTATCCTGTAGCAGAAACAAGCTTTCATTACATATAGATATGAAATACAAATATAAATAACATATTTAATAAGATGAATAATGGTTCCCCTTCAGGAACTCGAGCTGCGTCAAAGTCGCTTTGGGAACGCCCTTGCGTGACCGCGTTCTGAAGCACGTGTCAAATCAGTCCAATGGAGTAGCAAGACGTCACGAGCGGGGTGACGTAAGCACCAGAAAGTATAAAAGCGCATCCGGCAGAGCGCAAACCAGCTTCTGCTCTTCAGTAGCGCTCTGTGTATGTGTCTGTCTATTTACTGTTGTCTGTCCGCACAAGCATATATAAAAAACAATAAAAAAAAACAAAAAAAAAAACAGAGCGTTGCAACCCGCACCCCTCCACAAAAAGATCGGGGGTCGGGGCGATGCTCTCAGTCGGGGTCTTCTAGACTGAAAACGGATCTGCAGACCGTTATTTTGTCTAAGAGGACCGTGGCTAAATGGTCCTACCATTGTCAGGTCCCTGAGGCCAGCCCACCTGGGGAGGAAAGGATAACACCTCAGTATACGGTGCCCAATCCTCCTCAGTGTCCTCACGGAGGTTTATTGATACCCCTGCCACCCTCGGTGATACAGGGCTCAGTGAGCTCCGACGAGCGAAAATCCCAGCTGCCGCCCCGGCCACGGTACGGCACGGGAGAGCTCGCCCCCTCAAGTGAGGGTGCTACAGCAATCAGGTCGGTTGTTCCTTAAGTGCCCTCACGGAGGTTCATTGATACCCCTGCCACCTCGGTGCTTCAGGGCTCAGTGAGCTCCGACGAGCGAAATTCCCAGCTGCCGCCCGGCAATGGTACGGCACGGGAGAGCTCGCCCCCTCAAGTGAGGGTGCTACAGCTGTCAGGTCGGTCGTTCCCTGCCGGTCATCCGCTTCAGGGCTCGAGTTCCTGAAGGGGAACGTCTCTAGGTTACGTATGTAACCATGGTTCCCCGAGGGAACGAGACGCTGCGTCTCTTTGCCATACTCCCTGCATCCCTCCAGGCGCTACTTCATCGAAGCTGGTTTGCGCTCTGCATCACTACATCACTCTGTGCTTACGTCAACCCGCTCGTGACGTCTCGCTACTCCACTGGATTGATTTGACACGTGCTTCAGAACGTGGTCACGCAAGGGCGTTCCCAAAGCGACTTCGACGCAGCGTCTCGTTCCCTCGGGGAACCATGGTTACATACGTAACCTAGAGACGTTTTTAATTAAAACATTTTTTATTTAAACGTGCATAAATGTATGTGCATATCTAGAAAATAACAAACAGCCAAAAAATATCTGTGATGAACAATTTTCAAGCAGCAGACTACAGAGATCTGGCATACTTTACCTACTGAATAAAGCACAAAATAATTTACATAGAAATTAGGTATTTTTTGTTCAGAAATAAATTTAAATACTTGGACACAGTCCTACTTCCGTGTACATAATGCCTGGTTAAACTGGATTGTGGGAGGTTAGTCAATGAAACACTGATTTTGCAATGCAATACGACAAAGTAAATTTCAGCCAAAGTCTTTAGAGATGACTTGACACTTCTGCAAGCAAAGAGCACTCAAAGGGCTAGTCTCTAACGGCTAACATGAGGCCTTCAATTACACCTGTAAATAAGAGGTAAAAATGTCAAGGTGTATAACACATGATCGAGATGTTATCCCTTCCCAAAAGAAATGTTATCTCACATTAGAGGTCACAGAATCTGCTACGAACGAGTCTGCTCTAAAATATTACAGCAATTTTTCAGGTGTCAGGCATTAATTAAACCATGCTATACAATGCCCTGTAGTATTGCTTTCATAGCTGAGATTATCCGTATCTGATCCTGAACCAACAGCAAAAGTGAATCACCGCCGTTTCATGTGAGAATCACTCTCGCTCTAGTCTCTGATCCTGTGGTGGTGTTTAGAGAGGCAGAGGGCCCTGTCAAACAGAATTAATGTTTTTGTTTAAGTTTTTCCCCCCTCTGCTGGCTCAGGTTGGATTCCTATGTCTAAGAAAGCCACAGTTTGATAAATCACTGCAATTCTTTTTCCTCACTGAGCAGAAAGGAGCTGCGTAATGGGGTGGTGCACCTCAGCAACAATATAGGAGCCAGTAAGCGAGGGTTGTACAGAACTGACATCCAGACCCCTGAAGAGCATTTTTTGTGCCCCACGTGATGTTGAGATTCTGCGGTACATAGAGAAAAAATCTGACACTAAGCAGGAAACTATAGTTCACTCTGCAAACTGTCACAGATGAGCACTCACAGTCTACAAAGCTTGGTTGATTATAATGGCATTTAGTTTTGATCCATGTTGATTCACCACTTGTTTAAGGTGTAAACACTGTGCAGCTGTAGTTTGTTTATAGTTGCCAAGAAATTTTGGGAAATTAATACAGAATTTAACTGATATGTGGTTATATAAAAAATAAAAGAGCAGTACAAATAAATCCTTCCTAGCAACAAGTATTGTGTAAGGCATACTCTTACACAATACCGGAATCACCAACAGATCAACTGATCAGTTTTAAATAATATATTAATTAATACACAAATTAATATAGATAAATCCATTTATATATGATATATCAATTTATGGAAAACATAAATATATTTGTCATTTATTGAAAAATTAAATTAAGCAGGGTAGCAGGGTAGTCTGTCACAGGTGTCTCTATTAAATCAGCTCTTTTTTAACAAATCAGAAAAACAGCACGACCAGTGTAGTCTGATTCTCAAAAAATGACTCTTCTAAATTGTTCCTTTTAAGTGAATCAAAACTGCGACACCATTGTAGTCTGATTCAAAAATTACTTTTTAAAAATTGTTTCTTTTTAACAAATCAAAAACATACTGTGTGACCAGTGTAATCTGATTCATGAAAA